GATTTTGCATTTATTTCGTTTAATTTGCTCACAAAAGTCTACTTTTTGATTAACGTATGCATTTACACTGTGCACGTAAACTGCATTGTGTTTATGAGGTTTCATCAAATGTGAAGTAGATATGAAACTTTATAGATGACTGAATTTGTTTTATTTTTGAGCAAATTGTTGATAAGTTTCATTGAGTGATAACAATAATGAGCGATAATTATTCTTTTAATGCATATATTTGGAAACTGTTTCGAAAAATTGCATTCACTTTGAGCTTACCTTTGTAAAATCTTACTGATTGCATAATTTCAATACATTAGTGACTTAATGAGTTACTTCAGAGGTTAGTTTCAGTGTACTAGCTGATTGTTTGTTATTGTTAGGATGTTGTCATTTCAACAGCACTAAATAACTGCGGTACACAACCCAGAGTGAATGTCAGTGCACTGCAGTTCATTCATTAAATTACCGTTGATATGAGACATGAATAATGAGAAACAACTGATGAAGTCATCTACAATAATTCTAACTAATAATTATCTACACTGTCAGCTTGACGGAAGTATGTTTGTCGTGAAATGAATGATAAATTGCTCATCAATCGGTGACGTTGAATGCTTATTCAGCTGCACTAGAAATGTAAGAGCCTTTAATATTATTATCGTTCTAGGAATGTAAGTACTGGATTTTTGATATATACCATGCATCAATTGTTTTTTGATTTTATGCTGTTGGACTGATTAAATGTGATGTATTTTATTATGGCGCATCAATACAAAATTAATCGTTCGACGTTTCTGAAGATGAGTCGTTGCATAGATAAAGTTAATTGAAATACTGAGTGAATAGGCCCTGAATTTCAGGTGAACGATGAGTTTGTTCACAGTAGAACAGTTGGAACTAATCAGGCGGTTACGTATGACGGGTATCACACCGGAAGCAGTTCTCGAGGTTGGTACTTACATAAAAGTTGTATATTGTATGCACACTTGAGTAGGTTGTAGAGCAGTAGGTGTCAACGATAAAACAGTACTGTCCCTCAGTGACTGTTTGCTCATTCTTCGATACACAGCTACGATCTGTTGATTAATTACAATATCTCACTGCGCGAAATACACTCTCAAATGCTCGTCACGGACGAAAGAGTTTCCATAAAATAGATGAACATCTATTTTTATCTATCTTAATATTTATTCATGTTATTTGATTTTGATATCATATCACGATAATTTAATATCATAACATATTTGATACCATATTTGTATTGTATTGTATTAATATCATATCAATAACATATTTGATATCCTATCATATCATACCATAATAATTTGCTATCAGAACAAATCTATCATAATAATTCGTACAAATATTTATCTATCATTTATCTATCATGAAAATGACATAAAATCAATAAACTTCATTTAATCTTTCCCATTCATTTCATAGTCTCGCCAAGATTCAACTCCTTACTTATAAGCCCTTCAATGCATCTTGTAAAAGTGCTTTCATGTTGTATATGTACATTATACGAATACAGTATAACAGAGTTAGAGCTCATACGGGGTAGTAATATGAAGATAATTCAATCCCTTCTTACTATTCACTTTTTTAATTCTCTTGCGATTATCTCTCCGCGCATCTCATGAACTCTATGTTCTCATCAGTCGAACTGCTCGACTATTCATAAATTAACCACTTTATTGCTTTCATTTTATTATATATTAATACTATATATTAATATTGGTGCTTATCATATATTATATATTAATATTAATACTGTAAACTTCTATTTACTCATCTTCTAATTTTCATCAATATATCTCACGTCAATCCATCCCATCCACACCATTTTCGATCTAACTCATTACTTTTATGACCACTGATATCTGTTATGAATATCTGGAAATTTCAGTATTATTTTTTCATCATGTTCCCATCAAATTAGTTCATTGCATGTTTATGAAACGAAATTCATGCGAATAACGTATGATAAACATCACTTGTATCATTTGAGAAGTTATTTATAGATTGTTTATTCAGCATTTTACTTGATGTAAATGAATATTTGATTCAATTTCGCTTAACGATTATGTGTTAACGGAGTTCGTTTGTTTTTGAAGAATAAGTATTGATTGTTTGCTGTGTGACCTTCATTATTTTAGAATCACCGACAGCCTCTAATTTCTGTGTGCTCAAGATATTTTATGTTTGTCACAATCGCATTGCTATTTTTGAGGTACTATACCATATATAATCAGTGGCTTGTCCCCTGTTCAGTCCCAAGAAATGGTCACTAAAAAAGCAGTTTGGTGTTGTTGCATGATGCGGTTGGGAGAATATTCACTATGCAAAGGCTCAACAGGGCAAAAGAAGGAGAAAAGTTGGCCAGCAGGAGCGTAGCGTGTAAATATTTCGTTTAAGGCAGTGGTTTTCGTAGGGGGTGAAATTTCCCATTTTGGGTAATTTGGAAGTATCAAGGGTAATGGAGGGATCGGGAAATTAGTATTTCGTGCAATTGTTACGTTTTGATTGAACGCCATTGTGATGGTGCTTTTTAACTTGAGTAAACTCTTTATTCTCCTGTTTTCTGAGTATCATTATCTCGTCCGGGCGTTACAGGGTTTTCATTCGTTGTAACAAGGTTTTCATTCTTTTTCTTGCTGCTACAATCACTCTCATAACTTTTATCACCAAAAGTGTTCTCTTTAGCTAATTTCTGATTCATTTCACTCAATAATTAAACTCAGATTCTCATTCTATCAAATGCACTCTATAATTGATTATTTGACTGCCGAACATTGTTCAGCAATAATATTCGATTGTTGTATTGCTGATTTCGGCTGTCAACACTCGTCAACATATCCAGTAGACAGTATATACTACATAATAAGAAACTGATTCGAATGAGACGAAGTGAATGAGAAAAACTCATCAAGAGAACGATATTCGCATGTAATAGCTATGAGAGTGAATACAACACGCCCGAAAAGAATGAGAATCCATCTAAATCAGTTTGAAGTGAGCGTGTCGTGGACAATAGCTTTTCATGCAATCATAATCAATTGCAATAATAAGCAACACAACGGTCTAGGACAATGTTTCTAATAGGAAGTGAAATTACTTGTTTTTGGTAATTTAGGGGTGTCGGGAGGGGAGGGAGGGGGGGGGGGGGGGAA